GAGTGTCCGCTGTTTATTATGTAAATATTTTGTTTAATGGCGTCGGCTAAACCTGCCTCCAGCTTCTTGAGCCCTTAGGGGCTGGTAACGTATAGGTTTAGTAGTTAATGTTTTGAGCCAGTTTTATTTTATAAGCACGTGTGGCGAATTTTTTTTATATTTTTTGATATAGTTTTTTTTTGTGTAGGTGCCCCCATTTTTTTTTATTTTAGTCCCTCAACATGGCAGGCGTGTTCCAATACCACCTGTCATGTTATATATATATTTTTATAGGTTATATGTTATATTTTATTGGGTGATGTATATATTATAGGTACAATGTGGTGACGTAGTGTATTTTATTCCGGGGTGTCCCAACGTCTTGCAAGCTAAGCCTAACTGCCAGAAACCAGTCGCTTACTTGGGACGTATACCCGCCGTGCTTAGCGGCAATGCTGCGATTAATAGCCGGCGGGTACCCGAAGACGTTCATCGTATTCTCTAATAATAAAAGTGTAGGTGTAAATATTTTTTTTATTAATATTTTTTTTTTTCTCTTTATTTGTTCCCCTTTAATTTGTAGACGAGGTTTTTTGACCATTCGGTTTTTTGCCTCGTGTTAACTTAATTTTTTTTGTTTTTTTTTAATAAAGTCCCCTTAATTTAAATTAACCATCATCTATTTCTTTTTTTTTGCGTTTTCCATCTTCAATGGACTCGTGTATTTTTTTTTTCCTCTCAAAAATCAACTCCCCTAGTTTATAAGGTACGGGCAACGGCCTTGTATAAGGTCATCCCTGATCTATATGGTTATGTGACAACTGTCACGAGGTTTTGGTGTACATCTACTATCAACGACTCAACGGACATCAACTTTAATATTTATTAATTATATATTTTTTTCTAATTGTTTTAATATAAAAAAGTTAATTTTTTTTTAAAATCCTACTGTGGTCCGACAATATACTGTCTCGCCCAGTAGGTTGGCGACCCTTTACTTATAACTTTGTAAAACGCCATGAAAGTTACAAATTTTTCGTTGCGGCCAATTAATTTGATTTTTATATATTTGTAACCTTTCAAGATTTTTTTGATAAAAAAAAAATAATAAACTGTTACAAATTGACCCTATGTTAGGTTCAATTGTAACACACCTTGGGGTCAAATGTGACACATCATTTAATTTCATTTTCCACTAATAAAACTGATAAAATTATAATTTTTTTAAAAAAACATACATTTTTTACTTATATTATAGAAACAGAATTGTAAAGTATCATAAAAAAGAAATAATAATATTCTTCTTGATTTGTTTTTGTTTCTTAACTTTTTGTTTTTTAACATTCTTATTTTTAAAATCTAAGCTTCTTTTAGCACTAACTTTAGTTTTTTCTTCAATTTTTAACTTTTCTGGAGTATCATTAAGAATTGTACTTTTTCCTTTTCTTTTACTTTTCATTGTTTTCATTTTATCTTGTAATGCTATTTTTGGGTAATGTTGTACTTGCGCTAGAGATATGGTTGAAGTAGATGGCTGTGAATCAATACTGTGATTAGCTATGTTTTCTTGTGGCTTTAAATAGGGATTAATGACAGTATTATTTACTGGATTATCAGTTATATTATTCATTACCACGTCTGTTACAATTTCTGGTGCAAACTCATCCTTAGTAAAGGCGTCTCGATTGAAAGGCCAAATCGCTGACACAGAAAATCCATTTATAATGGTTTTAGGTGTGGCAGCTTTAATTAATGCACTTGATGATAGAGCAGGTACATCATATATGATTATTCTTTTTCCCGGATTGTTTGCTATCCAGGCTGTCATATTCTGATTCACAAATTTTTTGAATGACCCATATACTGATCTATCCAATAGCTGTAGTTTATGGGAACAATGGGGTGGAAATGTCAATAAAACAATTCCTACAGCCTTACAGAAATCAATGACTTTTTCTTTACAGATGGTCTGACATATTTTGCAAAATGCTTTATAAATTCTAGGAACTCATTACCCTGTATCCACCCAGATGTATTGGCAGCCCTAATACAACCAATTGGGCCACCTCTTACAAAGTAATCTTTATAATTCACCCTAGGAAATACAAACATAGGTGGAATAGAATTACCTGACGCATTGACTGCTATGCACATAGTTACTAATGTGCTACGTTCAGCAGATGTGATTACTCTTATTTGTTTTTTCCCACGAGTTGCCAAAATCTTTTCTGTTTTTTGTACGGTTGTAACACCTATTTCATCTAAGTTGTAAATATCATGTGCATCAAATTTATATTTAAGTAAAATTGACTCAAATTTATCCATAAAACTGTTTACATTGGCTTGATTAAAATTCATTGCTCTAACTAGACTAGTTGCTTCAGGACGACCAATGGACAATATTGGATTTCTTTTTAAAAATTTTATGAAACAATCAGCATTATTTTCCCAATTTTTTGGTACTTTTAAACTTAATTTTATTGCAAATTCATATGACAATTTTTGAATACTTTTAGGATTTAAACCAAAGTACATATCAGCACAATTTTTTTTATATAATCAGAGAGTTGTTTTTCTTGATCAACATTGAATATTTAATTATGTGGTTGATAACCAATAGTTGGTAAAGCATTACCTGTTTCTAGGTGGAATATTAATTTTTTTATGTACCTGTTCAACTGACATGGCAAATATTAAAATCTGCAGAAACAGATTGTGTCTGATATATGTTCTTTTATGCAAAGTTCTGCATCTTTTTTCATTGTACTTTCTGATGTGGTACCTCTGTTCGATATTTTTACACGGTTACGTGGCATCTTACACGCTATATCTTAGAAACTTAACAAAATAAAAAATCAACATGTAACAACAAATAATTTAAATATCACGGGTGTCTCTAATTGTTTTAACATTTTTTCAAATTGCGCATCGGTCCCTCAACCTATAATAATTGGGAAATTAAATTGTATTAAGTCAAAGTTTCTCATTGATACGGGGGCATCGATTAGCATAATAAGTAGCGCTAAACTTCCCAAAAATCATGATATTATTCCAGCCCAGAACGCGACCCTTACTACAGCAAATGGGTCCCCTTTAGATTTATTAGGTACAACCTCAATTGAAGTAAATTTCTGTGAGCATAGTTTTATTATTGAATGCACGGTCGTTAAAAACTTAAATGGGAATAATCTTTTAGGTAATAGTTTTCTACACAAAAATAAGGCTAATATTGATATGTATGATTCGAAAATTATTTTATTTGACGTACTACACAGGGTGACCGTGCTCTTCGAAAAATTCAGTTCTAGCAATGTTGTAAATCATATTCTTTCACACAAAGATTCTACCAATGTTTCCATTAAGTCCACAGCGGCGAGTATGCAGGTTTCAAAAAATATCCCACGAGACGGCTTTTGCGGCGTAAATACATTAATAGAGGTGTTGAAAAATAAAAATATTAATGTTAATTTTCATGATATTCAAGTATTATTAGGCGTAGATTCTGCAAGTCAGCCTGTCTGGCTTGAGGCAGAAGATCTAGCAGCCGTCGCGTCATATTACAATAAAAATTTAATTGTNCAGCCGTCGCGTCATACTACAATAAAAATTTAATTGTACTATCCCAAGATAACAATCGTTCGGACGTAAATGTTATCGCATTCATAGAATTCGATCGAGATAACGTGTTTGTTTTATTTTCCCACTGTCATTGGTCTCCATTAGAATACGTAAAAAATTCTAGTGTTAATTTTAATATTAAAACAATTGTGCATATTAATGACAATATTTCAGTCGCCGACAGGCGTAAAATTCTAAACTCCAGACAAAAAAATTATGATTTTACCGAACACTTCAAACAAAATGATGCGTCAACACCAGACGTACACTTTGAATCTCAGGTTAACAAAACATGTTTCGCGGAAAAAGAAACAACATCTTCTCTAGCAGACTATTCACAAAAGGTCTAATTCGATATTAACCCGTCTTTATCTCGCGATAAAAAACAAAAACTTGAAACGTTGCTGAATAATTATAATGAAATTTTTTCAAAGACTAAATTCGACTTGGGCGAGGTAAAATTACCTGATATTGAATTAAAATTAAATCGCGATCAAATAATAAATTTACCGAATTTCAAGTTAAGCGTTAAAGAACGGGCCGAGGTAGAAAAACAAACTAACGAGTTATTAAAGGCCGGCATAATAGAACCGTCAAATAGTCCATATAGTAATCCGGTATTTTTAGTAGGTATTAATTTCATCGATAACGTTCCCATCGGAAGGGGGAATTAGTGCAATATCAAACATGCTCTTAGATTTATAGCCATGAACTACATAAAATGGCGTATAGTTTGTAACCGAATGTATTGAAGTATTATAGGCGTATACAACGTACGGTAAATAATCTACCCACTTATTGTTATCCTGAACGTAATGTGATATCATGTCTATGACTGTTTGATTTTGACTCTCCACCTGACCTTGTGAAGTAGGCTTGTATGGAATTCCGAATTTTTTGTCTACCCCAAAAGCGTCCATTAGGTCTAAAACTGTCTTTGACGTAAAATGAGTTCCATTATCTGACCTAATTATCCTAGCTGGACCAAATCTTAAGAATAAGTCTAAAAGAAATTTGTTGGTACTACGCGCATTGGCATTTGTAAATGGTTGAGCTACGCAAAATTTTGATAAACGATCAGTAGCTACTAAAATATACTTATAGGATCTCGACTGGTTCAATTTTGATGAAAAATGTCAAAAGATCACAAATTATATCTAGTTGATGACATTATCCTTAAAAATTTTAAAAATTTCCCTCATTGTATTATCATCATATAGATGTAAAAAGAATAAAATTCTTATGATTTAAATATAATTTTGATTATATTTAAAAAAAAGTATTTCACATGTAAGTAAAATGTCAAAATTATAGTTATTAAAATATACAGGGTGTTCAGTAAGTCAAGAAACGGGTTTCTATTGTTCTCATTGTTACAAACAATGAGAACAATAGAAACCCGTTTCCTGACTTACTGAACACCCTGTATAGCATCAAATATTAAGACAGTTTATTTAAAAATAATATATATAGTCAACTTATATGATTATAATAAAAATATATAATTGAATACTAATTAGGACAACCATTTTCTGTAGCATATTTTACTATATCATGTTGATATTTTCGAGTAGCTTCATATATGGTATTTTTACTCCATGGACAGTTATTTTCATGGGCGTATTTTATGCAGTTAAATTTACCATTTGCAGCAGCAAGTCTTGTCGTGGCTTCGTCCCACTTGCATCCATTTTTATAAAGATATTTTAGGCAGTCTAAATGGCCATTTGCAGCTGCTGCACTCATTGTTCCTTCATCCCACTTATATTTATTTTCATATGCAAATTTCAAACACTCAATACAACCAATAGCAGCAGCTTCTCTCGTTGTGCCTTCGTCCCATTCACAACCATTTTCTTTAGCAAATTTTATGCAGTCTAAATGTCCATTTGCAGCAGCTCCTCTTATCGTACCTTCAACCCAATTATATCCATGTTCATAAGCATATTTTAATAAATATAAATAACCAAGCATTGCAGTTCTAACCGTTGTACCTCCATCCCACTTACATCCATTTTCAAGAGCATATTCTAAACAATCATAGTTAGAATAAAAAAAAGCTACCTCTGTTATCTTTTCATTCCACTGATACCCATTTTGATGTGCATATTTTAAACAATCTAACTCCCCATACATAGCCGCAACTTTAGTTATATCTTTACTACAATCACATCCATTTTCGTGGCAATATTTTAAACAGTGGACCATACCACCTTGAATAGCAGCTTTACATGTGCCAACGTTCCATTCGCATCCATGTTCATGAGCATATTTTAAACAGTCGAGATGACCCATTAAAGCAGCAACTCTTGTTGTACCATCATTCCACTTACAGCCATTTTCATGAGCATATTTTAAGCATTCTAATTTACCAAAATATGCAGCTTCTTCTGTTGTGCTTTCATCCCATGGACAACCATTTTCGTAAGCGTATTTTAAACAATCTAAATGTCCATTCCTAGCAGCAACTCTTGTTATAGTTTCATCACATTTACTTCCAATTTCAAAAGCATATTTTAAACAATCTAAATTTCCATTCTCAGCAGCAACTCTTGCTGTATCATCATCCCATTTGCATCCATTTTCATGTGCATATTTTAAGCAGTCTAAATAGCCGCCTTTTGCAGCAGCTCTAATGGTACCCTCAGACCAATCAAATCCATTTTCGTAGGAATATTTTAAAATTTCTATGTAACCTTTTGAAGCAGCTAATCTTGTTGTGTCTTTATACCATTGGTGTTCAATTTTATAAGCATATTTTAAAATTTCTAAATTACCAATAGAAGCAGCTTTAGCCGATATTGTATCATCCCATTCGCTTCCACTTTCATATGCATACTTTAAACAATCTAAATGACCACCTGCAGCAGCATTCCATGTTGAGTATTTTGCCAATTTACATCCATTTTTATGAGCATATATTAAACAATCCAGATTTCCAAACGCTGCTGCTATTGCAGTCACGCCTTTGTTCCATTTGCATCTATTTTCATGCGCATATTTTAAACATTCTAAATGCCCTTTTGCAGCAGCAGCCTTTGTTGTGTTTTCATCCCATGGACATCCACTTTCATTTGCATATTTCAAGCAATCTAAATTTCCATTTGCAGCAGCAGCCCTTGTTGTTTTTTCGTCCCATTTACATCCACTTTGTCTAACATATTTTAAGTTTTCTAAATTACCATGACTTGCAGCTGCTTCTGTTGTGCTTTCATCCCATGGACATCCATTATCATGTGCATATTTTAAACATTGTAAATGTCCATTTGCAGCAGCAGCCCTTGTTGTTTTTTCGTCCCATTTACATCCACTTTGTCTAACATATTTTAAGTTTTCTAAATTACCATGACTTGCAGCTGCTTCTGTTGTGCTTTCATCCCATGGACATCCATTATCATGTGCATATTTTAAGCATTCTAAATGTCCATTTGCAGCAGCAGCCCTTGTTGTTTTTTCGTCCCATTTACATCCACTTTGTCTAACATATATTAAGTTTTCTAAATTACCATGACTTGCAGCTGCTTCTGTTGTGCTTTCATCCCATGGACATCCATTATCATGTGCATATTTTAAACATTGTAAATGTCCATTTGCAGCAGCAGCCCTTGTTGTTTTTTCGTCCCATTTACATCCACTTTGTCTAACATATTTTAAGTTTTCTAAATTACCATATTTTGCAGCTGCTTCTGTTGTCCTTTCATCCCATCGACATCCATTATCATGTGCATATTTTATGCATTCTAAATGTCCATTTGCAGCAGCTTCAGTAGTCGTATTTTGATCCCAATTACATCCACTCTTGTGAGCTACTTTTAATTTTTCTAAGTCACCATGTGCAGCAGCATATCTCGTCGTATCTTTTTCAAATTGGCATATTTTTTCACTGACTAAATATTCTTTTTTAATTGCTAAAAAACAATAATTTATTAATTAATGTTTATGTAATGTAATTTTTGTTAGAATACTAAATAATATATAATAAAAAGAATGACAGTTCATGAACAACTTTTATTTTATCAATTTCTTGGGAATGTAAAATTATGAATTAAGGAGATGATTGAGTTACGATGTTTTTATAACATGAGTGAGATATGCTATTCACTCATGTTCCAATAACTAAATTATTCACTTTTTTTAGTTGATAAAACTATCAGTTACTATGTGTTTTTTTTTAGTGGCTGCGATTTATTTTTACAACCCTCACTTAACCTACTTTTTCAACGATATATTAAATGATTACAATTCGTATTTAGTTAAACGTAGTATTTTTTCTTATATTTTTAAAGTATTTATCGTCGAATTAGATTTGATATATAATTTTACTTTGTAATTTATTAATTTTTTGACTCTATTTTTGTGTGCTACTACCAGTCTATAAAATTCCAAATTTCTTCATAATATGTTGCTCTATAAATCATAAATTTAAAAAAAAAATTATTTTTAGTTTCAACTGAATTTAACAATGACCTTTATTATAATTATATTTTGAAGACTGTTCTTCATGGTGGTCCCTATGTTTAGTATACAATTATCGTGTGTGATAATGGTGGGATCGAGTTAGTTGCTCGTTATACGCTCCGCCGGTAACATTGCCGGACCGTTTCGCGACGTAATAATTGTTAATATAAATAATTATTCATTATAATAAAATAAAATCTTGAAATACAGTCTACTCTGTTTTTATTATTTTAATAACGAGTTACTTAAACATTGGTTCAATCGAACCGGGTGCGAACAAACATTGTTCCAAAAACTAGAATCACATTATAGTTCAAGAAACCCCTAACCCAGCCATACCAAGTGAAAGGGTTGCTAACTTGTCACAGGGTAGTTAGCCGAAAGGTAAAGTGACCATTGAGATTCTCTATGGCACCTGGCGCATCATAGAGTATACAGCCTTATCACAGTATCGAGCTCTGCTGTAACGGACCTTTATTTCTCGACTACTCGTGGGAACTATATGGACAAAAATATAGAAAAAACACAAAACAACGAACTAGAGACGATCAGGTATCCTACGGACAACCTGTCAGAACAAGATTGTGAACTGACGACTCTTCGAAGAAGAATCACCGAACTTGAAGGTCTCAATGCGAACAACGGGACACTTGGTGAACCATCTACTAGCAACGTCAACAAATATAGACCAGGTATCATAAGATCAACTAGGAGCAGTAGAGCCAGTCTGAGCAGTCAGAAGCGCAAGCTGAAGAGGAACCAAGCAATTGTGGACTTGAAAAAGTCAAAGGGAACCGAAGCTCAAAAATCTGAGGACAAGAGTCAAGAACACCCATGTAAGAAAACTCATTGGGTACGACCTACAGGGACGTGGTAACCGATGATAAAAAAGTGGCTCTGGTTCTCGCAGGCTACCCCACTAATAAATTGACCACAGAGCAGGGGCTACTCATTGAATCTTGTGTTGGAGACTTGATACTGTCGGGCACTGATGGAACCGACGTACCAAGGTTTGAAAACACCAGACTCACTGATAAAGCACTTGTGATCAGTGCAGCCCAAGAGAGCTCTCTTAAGTGGCTCACTGATCATGTCAACCTGATAAAACCTTGGAACGGTGCAGAACTCCAATTGGAATCCTACAACCCGATCAAGTACAAACGGATGGTCACTCATATACCAGGGCTGCCAAAAGAGTCCAAGAAGATCATGGAAATTTTGGCAAAACAAAACCCAGGGCTGTACACGGCGATCTGGAAAGACCACCATGAGACAGAGGTTGACCCGAAAGGACAAACTTGTTCCTAAGTGTGAACGAAAAGAGCATGGCCAAACTGGAGGAACTGAAGCGCAGTGCATATTTTGGAATGGATAGAGTTTGCTTCACAGACTATGTTGTCAAGCAACTACTAGACCGGAAGGATGTGAAAAAATTTACTCCTCAAAAATCTGGGTAGCAGAAGGCTGAGGAATCACCAGTGCTACTCGGAAAAGGAGGTAAGAAATAAATGGACACATTTCATTCCTGCCTTGAAAAGGAAGGGAGAAAGTGTGTTACGTAAGGGAAAAGGACCCAGGAAACCGCTACCCTCAATAACGGCCACAGTTGAGGGGAACCTCTCCATGGATCCAAAAGGAAATGTGGAGAGCGAACCTAAGGTACGGTCACCACTTGGGGACGGCGGGAGGAGACCACCCACTGGGAAGGCTGTATGACACAGGGACTCTTTCAGACACCTGTATCACACCCAGTATAGCGTGTTTTCTTAAGCGTCAACATCAGTTTTCTGAATGGCTGGCAATAGAATTCAATTCACGCAAATAAACCTGCATCACAGTAAAGGGGCCAGTAGTGTATTACTAAGGTCTCTAACTGAGAGGCATACAATACCCTTACAAATAGCACTTATTCAGGAATCATGGATAAATGGTGACCAGATTAAGGGGCTAAATCTAAGTAATTTTAAACTGTTTCATAAACAAGCAGATAAACCAAGAACTTGCATTTTGATTAATAATAGAGTTAAAGCCTGCTTGATACTTAATCTATCAAGTGCAGACTTGAATATCATTAAAGTAACACAAAATTATTGTAAAAATATTATAGTAGCTTCAGGGTACTTACCATACGAGGTCACAGACCCAGATAGGGACCTAACTATGCTCTTTAATTATTTCAAAAATGAAAAATTAGAACTAATCCTAGGTATGGATGCTAATGAACACCACACTATTTGGGGGAGCAGTAACATCAACCAAAGAGAAGAGATTATAATGGATCTATTACTGACTACAGAACTTAGTATACTGAAAGAGGTAGTGAACCTACTTTTGTTACAAGGAACAGGCAGGAAGTCATTGATTTGAAAGTTTGCTCAAAAGGGTTACTTCAAAAGATAAAAGGGTGAAAAGTGTCCTCCGAACCTTCTCTTTCTGATCATAGGCACTTACGATTCACTTTGGAAATTAACAAAGTTGAGACGGAGTACTATAGGAACCTGAAAAGAAAAAACTGGGACAACTACAGGGTAGATATCTCTCCTTACCTGAATAACCTACAGTTTAGATTGGGGTCGAGACAGAGTACTGAAAGGGCTGTAAATATACTACAAGACTCTATTGTCTCGGCTTACAAAGAAAACTGTCCTTTAATAGAAAATAAAAGTACAGGACAGGGTGTAGCTTGGTGGAATTCTAACCTGTCTAAATTAAGAAAGAGTTCACGTAAGCTCTTAAATAAAGCAATGAAATCAGGTTTGGAATAACACTGGGAATCCTATAAGGACGCCCAAAGGAACTACAAATCTGCATTGAAAAAGTCCAAAAGAGAAAGCTGGAAGAAGTTCTGTGGGGATATACAACAACTCCCTATAGCAACTAGACTTCTGCGATCACTAAGGAATGGACCAAACAAAACTGTCGAGGCAATACTACTGCCAGACGGCATGTTCATCAATAACGATAATGAAATATTACCACATTTGATGAACACACATTTTCCTGACTTTGGAATTAACAACAGAGAACAGTCACATGATACACAGAACAAACATGTAACCTGTGCTGATTGGAGACTAACCAGAAGAGTGATAACCCCAAGGAATAAGATAGACAATAAAAGACTTTGGCAGTTTTAAAGTTGTAAGCTGTGACGAAATTTTCCCTGCACTTCTGCAAGAAGGGTTACAGATAATAATCCCCCGTCTCTGCAAAATATTTAGGGCATACCTTGCCTATGGTTATCAACCAAAAAGTTGGCGAAAGGTCAGGGTGGTCTTTATACCCAAACCTAACCAGACTAACTATTATACATAGGGAAAGCTGTGGATAAAAAAATGTATGCAGTAGGTATATTCCTGAACATCGAACAGCACTCATTACAGCTAGGAAAGAAGTTAGTCGCTAACAGAGATTGGCTGCTATGGCCATCGCTGGAACATCAAGAACTACACTAGCGGTTGCATTAGAGGCACTAATTGGATTGCCTACTCTGCATCTAGAGGTGAAAGCTCACGCCAAAGCCACAGCACTAAGATTTCACATCTTAGGTATGTGGACTTTGGAGAGTGATACAACAGAATTTGGTAAAAGAGATACTAAAATACTAAAAGAGATAGACCAGGGCTTTTTGGAATATCCCTTGGACTATATCAAACCGATTCTTAAGAATAACATTCCCTACAAAAAGGAGATCACTACACGTAGAGAATGGAATATTAACCACCTGACTGAAAAATGAGGATTTGTGATATATACAGATTGATCCAAAAAATCAGGAGAGGTAGGTGCTGGAATTTGTGGTTTAATGGCACGAATAAAAGTCAGTATGTCATTGGGCACAACACCCTCAGTATAGGTGATGGCGATACTAGTAGGGGCTCAAAACTTGCTGATATACAAAAATAGGAAGATAACTATCTTAAGTGATAGTCAAGCGGCTTTGAAGGCACTTTGTAACAATCAGGTGAAATTAAATCGAATACAGGGAAACTTTAGAATCACTATTGAGGTTCAACAAAGTTACACTAGCGTGGTTACTGGGACACAACGGTGTCACTGGAAATGTGAATGCTGACTTTCTAGCCAAGAAAGGAGCAGAGAACACCTATGTTGGACCAGAACCAGTGGTAGGAATCACTGAACAATCGCTCCAAGCGCTACCCAAGAGTTGGTGTAGAGAACAACACAGGAAAATCTGGAAGTACTTGGTAGTAACTAGACAATCTAAAATATTTATCAAGACCCCTGGTCTACTGTTGGGTGATCTTAATAGCATGACTAGACACCAAATAAGCACCCTGACTGGTCTACTGACAAGACATGGTCACCTCCTTAAACATCTTAACGCAATGGGGGTATCGGAATCATCATTGTGCAGGAAGTGTGGAGTAGAAGAGGAAGACTCATTTCACATCATGTGCGAATGTGAAGCCTTGTCCACACTAAGATC